ATCCGTATAAAACAACAACGGTGATTTTGTGTCGGCGCATGTCTCTAGCGCGCGTATTGCCGCCTAGTCAGCAAATGAAAATAGACGTAAAACGTAAATTGTAAGGGAGAGGTGATTCTCAGTCGGTAAGCCACACTTTAGATACACTTTATGTTAGACACACATTATAAGCCTGTTCCGATTTAAATATCTTTCCAGCATACCATAATCTCCGCTCTCTGATTCGTTTGTCTCCCGTCTTCTAGCGGTTCACTCAAATTCCTATGACACGCATACAATGTTAGATCCTGAACTTGAACCTTTGGCATGACAAAAGTGTTAATAACCTCGGATCGTTTTCGCCCCAAAAGACGCCTATGCCAGCTCGAGCATCGTGCCGACCGTTATTTAGTGCGCAACCGTCAATGTAGACAATTAATTGACCTTGATTGTTATCAGACTTTCAATGATAATAAATCTTGGTTAGGACACATAAGAAACCCTTTCTGTTCGTCCATTAACATCAATCTGTCAAGAGCAAGGAACGTACTCTGATGGCTTGCGGTAATAATATCAACTAACAGTCCTTTTATTACCTACCATTTGTGACGGCAATCTCAACAATTTCTTCGCTCGTCAATAGAATTCATGAAACATGTGACGGATTTGTTGTGTCACATTTTAATGTTCGTGGCATAGTTTTCACTTTATATTTTTATCTTTCTCATAATTTGGAATACAATCCTTGTCAAACGACCATAATCATGCTTGACAACCAGCTCTTGGTTAGAAAATGGACTATTGACAGCTAGTGGTTTGTGGTTTACGCGGTTTATGTGGTTTACGCGCTTTGTCTTAGAGAAATCAATCAGGGTTTGTTTTTTTTTGTTTAGCGTTGCAGAGTCCCGTTCTTAACAACACGGAACCATTCGATCTTAGATTAGTTGATTTCTGTAAATAAATTTATTATGCTTTCCAACTCGATTATTTTTCGAATCACACCAGCTTTTACAAGTTTAACGTGCTGGACATAGTCTCTTACCCAGAAATCGTGTTCATGATCTGTTGGTCTCAAAGTTTCTTATCAATATATTAATTGAAAACTGTCGTTAATAATAAACTCACGGCATAATAATAAGATTTTAGTTTAATCAATTTTCTGTAAATCAAGTTTGCGCGGGTTTCTATTCCCTTTTCTCATTGACTAATACTAGTATGTCGGGTCATGTGTGACTCATGTGATCAAAAAAGAAGAAAAGAATTTTAGTGATTATTTCTCTTACTATTACGGAGGTATGTCAAAATTGAAGAAGGGTCCTATGTTACAATACATCAACCAGGTGGACATAAAATTTTCACCATTCTCGCCATCAGCCAAAACTGCAAGGCAAGTAAAGAATTATACCGCCACTATCATTGTAGATTGCATTGGAGTCTACTATATCTAACTGGATTTATTCTTGACGCACAGGATATTCCTCTCGCGTATTATGACAGACAATGGACGCAGAGCAAATCCGAATGCTAAAATAAATACCGTGCTTTTGCCGAATCCCAAGGATAAATCAAACATAAACGTTACATTTCGTACGTACGAAAACGTCAATTCCAGGAATAGCCAAATGAGGGAACTAACCGTTCCATAACTTTTAGGAGATGGAAAAACCATGGATTTCGATGCGAGTACGATGAAAATAACCGAGTAAGAAAAATCTAACTACACGATTATATTCATTATGCAACTGCTCACACATCTCTATCTTAGATTACTAAGACCAGTAGAAA